CCCCATCCTCTCATTCCATAACCTTCCCCATCGTTCTCAGTCAACTCCAAGTGACGTCATAGGCCATATCATCCAAAGCTTACTTGTATAGACGTTGCGCACTTCCAAATTCATTCCAGCTTCACAGATTCCCGGGCTTGGATATAAATCCATTTCATTACAAACGATCATCGGCGGGAGGGTTGTCGGGAGAGGAATAAGGCAGAGAGAAATCCCCCAAGCTCCTTCTCTGCTCGCAGCCTCCAGCTAACTCGGAGATTTCCCTCAGCCGATCGAACGGGTGGACTGCTCCCCTCATCCCCACAGAAGGGCGCAACTTCTCACTCCAATCCGCCAACACTGCAGACGACGCCAGATTAGACATCAGTGCCAACAGTTTCTGGGTACGAGGGCAACGGGCCTTCTTCGACATACGAATCTTCAACCCTATGGCCACGAGGAACTCCTCTCTGCTCACACTAAGCATGAGAACAACAAAATGAGGGAGTATGGCGAACGCGTCCGAGAAGTCGAGCAAGGTACTTTCACACCTCTTGTATTCACGACTTCTGGGGGAATGTCACCGAGAGCGACGATATTCTACTCATCCCTTGCACAACAACTTGCAGAGAAAAGGCAGCAACAGAAGAGCGCCGTCGTTGCATGGATGAGGTGTCGATTGGCCTTCTCACTACTACGGTCTTCACTGCTCTGTCTACGAGGAACAAGGAACAAACCGGCAATGTACACTAGTCTCAAGGATTTAGATATAGAGGAAACTGTTGTAAATAGTAGAATAGAGAGAAATATGTAATTGTAAACAAAAGTAATAAAGGACTGAAAGTGTTTCCTGCATCCACTTCCCTGCAGCCAAAAACTTCGCCGTATCCCTGGCTGAGGGAGCTGACAGGGGCTACACTGCCCAAGGATGACAGTTGGGAGGCCCGCTACGTTCCCTGTTCTAGGATATATTTTTTGTCATATTCCAGGACATATAAGCTTGACATACGACCAGAAAGTCGTTATAACTATTATATGTAGTAAATATTCAATTATACGTTTATTTATTATTATTATTATTATTTCTTTTACAAACTTTGAGCCGCTGTGATTTTTGGAAAGAAAAATAATATTGCCATTCATGAGTAAATTACATGAACGGCTAAATGCTTAACATTGTTGGGTATTAATACACAGCAAATAATATTCATATCAAATATTTTACTTCACTGTTCTAACATATTTTGAAAACTGTAACAACAATATTGACTAGCACAAGAAAAGATACTGGTTAAACATTTAAATATGCGCATACATCAATATTCAATGAATAATTATAATAACAAGTGATTTATTTCAATAATCCTTGCCAAAATATACAATATATTTTACACATGACCAACTCTGACAAGTAGAAACACTGCAATCTTTCTATCTACATTTTTTCCATTCTTGAAGAGTTTTCCAATCCTTTGTTTTTCTTATATTTTTTTTGTACTAACTACATCTTTATCATCTTCATGATCTTCCCGTTCTTGAAGCCAAATCCGTCATCCGGTTTGTTACTACAATCTCCTTTTCTATATTTTTCACCTTACTGTCGTTCTTGAACCCATTTACACCATTACACCTTTTATAATTTCTTCTTCATCTCCATCTTCTTTCCTTTGTTTTACCAACAACAATCTCCTTTTATAATTTCTTCATCTTCCTCTCCATCCCGTTCTCGAAGCCAGCGTCACCATCCTGCTCCGTGATGGCGAGTCTCCTTGAGCCAAGGCTGACGCCCGTGGGTTTTCTTCCGCCTGTTCTTAAGAGAGACGATCGTCACAAACACGATGGGTTGCTGTGGGCGCTGTGGGGCCACGCTGCATATCACGGTGTAGTAACGTGTCTGTCCTCCATTCAGAACCTGGTCCTCTGCACACGTAAGGAGAGAGACAGAGGTGTATGTTGAGTTATCATTCTCCCAAAGAAATGGCTTTGCTTTTCGAAATAGCCATTGCCGTAATGGTATGCATATAATATATCTAATCGAGGCATACGGTTGACTGGTGTGCCAAGGAGATGCCACATGATGAAGATAACGTGAAATAAGTCAAGTATATACTTCCTGTCTTCCGGTAGACAAGTCAGCTGGTAGAAATTCACCAACAAAGTGATGTTAAGACCGGCCTTCGCTGCTTATATAGTCGTCGGCCGTCCCGAGCAACAGTAGGAAAAAAGCGAACCCCGTTCAGTTTTCTTCTTAATCCGTGTTGTAGACTTTGTTTCTAGTGACGATTGTAGTTCGATTTGCTCATAATTAATCCTTGTGATATTTAAGAATAAAAACAATGAAAACAATTTGTTTCGAGTTTCAAAAAGTATTTCAAGGCGCACATAAATTATAAAGGAAAAGAATATTTGGTACATTTGACCTAAGTATTCTCATGCAACGCATGTGATGTCACGCACTCCGTATATGACGCAATTCTTATATGTTTAAATATGTGTATATACATAGAGACAAATACGTATA